CCCCTCTCTTTTTCATTTTAATCTCGGAACACAAACCCTTTTTGATTTAAACTCACTCAGATATGGTTGTCCTCTTGGGTAGGTCTGTCGGTTTTGACATTCCATAGAGCTATTTCTGATAAGCACTCAGTCCCTCCTAAAATTTAGCGTTATGCACATATGATCACAAAAATTGATAAAAAATATTATTTCTTTAAAGCACAATGATCAGATAAAAAATTAATCAAGTAATTTGGCTTTAAGTACGATCAGTAAAGGATGAAGCTACAACGATTCGATTATTCGGTATATACGAGAGAAATGAATGAAGATCTGTAAGAACAAGTTTACAGATTCTGATATTAAAAAAATGAATGAATATGTATCAATCAAAGAAAAACAATATCAGAAAACAATCTTGAATACAAACGAGTGTATTATCACCGAAAAAGATTTTCGTAGAAGAGACGTGATAATAACAGTTTGAAGAATAGCTGAAACAGGTATTGGAGTTATGTACGACGAGAAATTACGCAATTAAAATATCAAGAAATACCTGTTTAAAAAATGTACTCGTTTCAAAAAAAAATCATTTTCCAAAACCATTTATTGAAAAGTTCTAGAGTCTCTCCCTAGAAAATAGATTTAAGTAATGAAACATTTAAGCTCAAAAAATTAAAAAAGAAAACATTTTAAGTACGGGTTCTGAACTGAAATATTCAGAAGCCACATAATTTAAGCTAGGGTCCTAAAGTGGATGTTTAGAAGCCTTGGTTGGAATAAATCACAACTCCCCCTGCATTGGTGTATCATTGAAATGATATTTTGATCAGCATAAATTTGACACACCTGCAAAACCAGATCAAGTAGATTTTGGTACCCAAACGAACTTGGGTCCTATATTGTTAGTATGGTGTTGGGGTATGTTGTAATTACCAAACCATTTATTTCGATAAGATATTTGCTTTTCAGTACTATTAACAGGATGATTATATAGAAGATATGATTCATGCCAGTTATTATAATCATACATGTTCTTACTTTTACAATTGTTGTTCTGATAACTGTTATCTTCATGCCACCTGTTGAACCTTTTGTTATTGACAAAATTATTGGTTCTGCATGTTGAGCACATAATCCTTCTCTTGCTAAGATTAATCAAATCATTAGTGGACTTCACAATGCAAGGGAGATTGTTAGTAACAACAGGCGTATGAGATAAAACAGATTCAGACTTATTGACCCAAATGCTTTTAATCTTTGAAGGATAATTGGGTGATCCAATGACATACCCTTGATAGTACTGATTAGAACGAGAATAGTTCTTAGAAACATTAGATTTAGG